TTTGTTTGGTCTTCCAAAAGAGGATGATATCCGCTTCATCATGCCTGGAGCTGATCCGTGCTGGTCGCTGAGGAAATACATCAACTTCGCGCTGTGGAGCGCTCCTTCGTCGAATCTGCCGGCTGCGCCGTTCTCAAGCCCGCCGGCCGTTCCTCACTCTAGTCCGCCGACTCTAGCTCACGATGCAACGCAACGCGTAAAAAGACAGTATAAGTCATTATAATCTGTAATTATGTACCCACTGGATGCAACAAATGCCTCGTTTATAATGGGTTTTAATGTTTTTGTCTCGTCGCTCCAGCCGGGACACGGCATCACAGTATGGTAGGGGCGTAACATTTCCGTCACACGCTTGAGGTATTCGGCCAATCACAACGCTCTGGATAGCTGGCCAATCACAGCACACCTCGCTTTTCAGACGATGAGCTTTGTAAAAATCGACACGTTTCAGAAAGGCGGGGCACAGAGGAGAAACAATAATGTACAGTATGTGGAAAATAATGTGTTTTTTGAACCTTAAACCGCATAAACACATTTCATTACACCAAATACACAAGATAATGTTCTTTTTAGCAGCATCATATGACCCCTTTAAAGCACTGATGATAGTGGAACCTATTATATTTATACACATCTAGATTTTTTTATGGCATATTGTTAATGTTTCGCAGCACTGATTTAAGAAATTTGAATATTATAGAGAACTTGATTTTTATTACTGCATCATGATCTAAACATTTCCTAACGTAATATTGAGTATTCGCAATACAAAATTTCTGTTGCATTGCAGAATTTACCTTCACCCCGCAGGAACTCTTGTAAAGTGCTGGTGGCGTCCACGTTACACGGCCGTTACTGTAGGCCTGCACATGGACCTGTAGAGCTACACCAAACACGCCATCATTGCTGCACACACACACAAAAAAGGTTTTTAATGCAGATAAACTTGTATAATCATTACCAAAAATTTAAACATTAAAATTAAGGCAATTTAGATGGTTACACTATTGCTTTTTCCCCTGAAAGTCCAAAAGTGTCCACACTGACAGTATCAGATTCAGAATGAAAGTGAGGAGTTTGAATATAAAAAAAAACAGACTTTATATGCATATGTGCTTTATAAGTACTAATAAACAGCCAATATGTTAATAATAGGCATGCTAATAAGCAACTAGTTAATAGTGAGAATTGGTCACTATACTAAAGTGTTACCATCATTTATAATGTAAAGATTTGTATTAAATTAAAGTGTGAAAAAAAGTGTGTGAAAAAGTGTGACGTGACATGTGGCCAAGTATGGTGACCCATACTCGGAATTAGTGCTCTGCATTTATCCCATCCAAAGTGCACACACACAGCAGTGAACACACACACACACCGTGAACACACACCCGGAGCAGTGGGCAGCCATTTTATGCTGCGGCGCCCGGGGAGCAGTTGGGGGTTCGGTGCCTTGCTCAAGGGCACCTCAGTCGTGGTGTT